ATGAACTCTACCAAAATCTAACTTTCCACAACATCCTCCCTGACTACTCTCTTCACACACATATTAAGGTTGCACTTATAGTCGGTGCTGGAGATGGCCTCGGCGGTGCGATCGCGCGCAAGTTCGCCAGAGAAGGACTTACGGCCTGTGTGGTGCGACGGAAGAAAGAGTCGCTTCACAAACTTGTATGCTGTTCGTATGTAGTTCCTGGCCCGTTGCTGAATCGCAAACCGCTGCCTGAAAACCATTGAGGGTGTTCTGTGCGTCGGGCAGTATACAGTCCCCTAACTGTTGTATAATTTGGCGCATGTTTTATATGTACATGATGCATGCGTACAGCTTGGTACCAGTGTGCTTTGATGCTTGTACACTGCTGTGGATAACTGATCTGTTAAACATGACTTCAGTGTACATAGACATATTCTCTGTTCCGAGGAATCACGTAAGAGATAGGTTTCTACGTACGTGCGTGTGCCGATCCTGCAAGAGAGGTATTCATTTGCCGCACCTTTGTGGGCAGGGGTTTCTCTCAGTTATAGTCACCATCCGAACGAGCCATAGGCGTTAAATAAAACAAACATTTCTTGTATTGCTGTGTGCGCGTGCCATATCGCGTGTACTCTGCCTTGTTGGCCGCCCATGGATCAGCTTGCACATGTGTGTACAGTTATCGAGGTTTGGAAGGTAGTATAGCTCATCAGCGAGCTCTGAACGGCTGTTGCGTGGATGTAGTGCGTGTAGTGTGCACAAAACGTCTGTAGTTGCGATGGTTGCCGGCTGCATACACACCTCAGTGTGGTCACGCGATTGGATCCGACAATCAAGCGCTCTTGCTCATAACCGAGGGACCCTAAGGCTGTGTGCCAATGTTGGAGACCAAAGTTTATATGTCTCGCTAATACCCAGTGCACAAGGAGTGATCAACGTCACGGTACAGCTCCTAGTATGTACTGGTTATCTACGGTGGATAGGAACGAAGTTTAGAGTATCTGTGAGTTGTTCAAAGTAAGGTCCCTCTCCTTGGCTGTAGGTAGATGAAATCGAACAGGCGGGCGGGAAGGTTGTACCGTACGGTGCAGACTTTCGGGACGAGGACCAGGCCGTCAACCTCATTCAGGAGATCGAGAGCAATGTAGGTGTGGCAGTTTTTTTGTATGTACAATCGGAGCCGGAGAAAGAAATCAGATGCTATATGTCAGGTGTAGAAGTACATAGCAGGCATTGTGTTTGTTGTGTGCCACAAGTGTTCAGTATCCGATATATTCATTAGCGTGTGAGGTACGGCTTGCATCTCCGTATGGACTTAGCCACTATGTATTCCAAGAAAATACGGATGCCTTTGACATGTGTACGCTATGTAGTGTATGTATATATTCATCCGAATGTATGTTACTCATAGTTTACTCCACCAGTATGGTGCAGATTTATATCCGAGAACTATTTGGCAGATATATCCATTCGGATAAGGTCTTAGTGTCTTAAGGTATAGGAGCCACTGTACAGTTGTGCATTCAATCCTTTCCGATGACATGACAGGTGGGTCCCATCGACGTCGCTGTCCACAACATTGGTGCCAACGTAAACTTCAAGATAGGCGATACATCCAGCCGAGTCTACCGTAAGGCATGTACGGAAGTGTTCCTCGGCGCAGTGGTTTTATTGTCCCTTTATCAGAACCTATACGCCGAGTCTGTTTGCTACTGCTATGCTTCGTAGAGGGCTTGCTTGTAAAGCACTGTAGCGCGCATCCTATGCTGCAAATGTGTCATCGGCATGAAGCCGGGAACCAGCCACATGCACATCAGGGCGAGTTTGGATTGTGCATGGATCTTATAGGACAAGTATACATCTGGCATGTGCTATCTTTTTCTTTAGTTTGAACGCTTACCGGTATTCATTTTCGCTTCTATTGAGGCCATTGTAGCATTGTTCAAAACATGTAGAGTTGCTGAAGGCTGATACTGATCGACACACCACACACACACACACACCACACACACACACACACACACACACACACACACACACACACACACACACACACACACACACACACACACACACACACACACACACACACACACACACACACACACACA